TAGGCCGTCTGGCTTCCAAGCAGGTCAATGTGGACGCTTCTTTGGCCTTCATCGTGGAAACCGACAGACTTGAGCAAGAACTGGAGGCTGGAAGCACGTATTATGATTGCTTGAAGGGCGCCAACTTAAGGCGGACGGAGATATCTGTTGGTGTTTACTGCACTCAAGTCCTCAGCGGCATCTACCTCATCAACTACGGGACATACTTCTTCCAGCAGGCCGGCCTGCCTACTGACAAGGCATTCGATATGGCCATTGGATTCCTCGGTAAACTGCCGATTCTTTGCATTTCCCTTGAGATTGTGAGCATTGGCTAACCTCTTCAGCCGTGGGATTCCTTGGCACCGTTATCTCGTGGTACTTCTTGATTCACTATGGTAGACGAACCATCTACATCACCGGCCTCGCTGCCTTGGTGTTCTTGCAGCTCCTCATCGGCATCCTAGACTGCGTTCCCGGACGTCCCTCTGGCGTGGCCTGGGCAGAGTCATCACTCATGCTCATTTGGAACTTCGCGTACGACCTGTCTGTTGGTCCCGTATGCTTCGTCCTCATATCAGAAGCTTCGGCAACTAGAGTGCGATCCAAGACGATTGCGCTCGCCACAGCTGCCCAGGGTGTCTTGGGGATCATCATGACCGTGGCAATTCCATACATGATTAATCCAGATGAGGCTAACATGCAGGGGAAGCTCGGGTTCTTCTTCGGAGGGCTGGCTGGGCTGTGCTTCATCTGGGCATGGTTCCGCGTTCCCGAGACAATGGGCCGCACGTACGAAGAGTTGGATATTCTGTTCGATAGACGGATTCCAGCGCGTGATTTCAAAGGTTATGTTGTTGACGGTATTAGTTCTGCCGATCACTAAGACGAGCAGCACTCCCAATGAGGCTTTAGTGTGCGACACGATCACCGCACCTGGCACTAGAATGATACCATTTTGAACTTTCATGCTTTTCAACGCATGTTACATATCCAATGGGCTTCTGCTCAAGTACTGTTTGATGGCTCCGTCCTTGTAGGTCACAGAATTGAAGAAGCCGCCACACTGGCTAGCATGCACAGCAGTCGGCCAATCATCTGAGCAGCTATAACTATATGATCTCTTCACCTTGTCTATTTCGGACTCTCCTAGTACTCTTCGAGCGTCTGGAAGATACCACTCCCGAGTTACTGGCATCATATATCTCGGCTGCGACTACAACATGTCTTGGTAGCGGTTGGACGGAATCCCGTGGGTTCTCCGTGACTAAGTCAGAGACCTCCGCGGTCTTTTCAAAAGCTTCCGCAACTGAGTATGAGAGAGCGGCGCCCAGAAGGTTTACTATTTCGTTCTTGACTAAAGGCAGCTGCGCCACCCGGACGACGCCCCGTCAGAAAACGGCGATACAATCCTGTCAGACATCCCAAGCAACTGCCCTAAAGGTAAGAAGATGTATAAGAACTCAATAGCAGCAAACACCGAGTGGTTAAAATCGTATGTATCTCGGTGTAGAACTGTAGATCGGTTTATTGAAGCTATATTGTGCTCAGGCATCTCAGTACCCTCTCACTCTTTGGCTCCTATCCGCAAACACCACAGGCGTCAGCATCACAATCTATCACACCAAGACGCAAACGCCCATAAGAAGGCCGCCAATATGGCTACCGAAAGCGCCCGAACGCTCTTCTTCCCGGCACCGGACCCGCCGACACCACTCGCCCGCTACCGCATCCTCTCCCCCAACGCCGCGATCCGCGTCTCCCCCCTCCAGATGGGCACGATGTCCCTGGGAACAGCCTGGTCGGACGGCATGGGCCCCGTTGAGAAGAACGCCGCCTTCAGCCTGCTGGACGCCTATCTCGACGCCGGCGGCAACTTCTTTGACTGCTCCAACGGCTACCAGCACGAGCAGTCCGAGTCCTGGCTCGGCGAGTGGATGGAGGTCCGCGGCGTCCGGGACCGCTGCGTCGTCGCGACAAAGTTCTCGGCCGACTACCGTATGCACGCCCTCGGGAAAGGTCGCTGCCCGAACGCGGGCGGGAACTCGCGCGCCTCGATGCACATGAGCCTCCGCGACTCGCTGGCTAAGCTGCGCACCGATTGGATCGACGTATTTTACGTCCAGTGGTGGGACTATACCGCTTCCATCGAGGAGGTCATGGACGCGCTGCATAACCTCGTCCAGCAAGGGAAAGTGCACTACCTCGGCATAGCAAATTGCCCGGCCTGGGTCGTCAGCGCGGCCAACACGTACGCGCGCGCACACGGCAAGACATCCTTTTCCATCTACCAGGGCTACTACAGCGTCATCATGCGCGACATGGAGCGGGACATTATCCCCATGGCGCGGCAGTTCGGCATGGCCATCGCGCCCTACGGTGCGGCGGGCATGGGCAAGTTCAAGACGCGGGACATGATTGAGGCGCGGCGGCGGAGCGGCGACGGGCAGGCGGCGTTCCGGCACCTGGCGGACCAGACGGAGACGGAGATGCGGGTGAGTAAAGCGCTGGCCGAGGTGGCGGAGGAGGTGGGCGTGACGTCCATTACGGCCGTGGCGCTGGCGTACGTCATGGCAAAAGTGCCGTACGTATTCCCCGTGGTCGGGGGCCGCAAGGTTGAGCAGATGCTGGACAATATCGACGCCCTCACGATCCAGTTGTCAGAAGCGCAAATTGCGTACCTCGAGAGCGTGGAGAAGTGGGAGCCTGGGTGGCCGTACGATGTTATGGGATGGGATCCTCACGTGTCGGGGACGCCGGCCCCGATCATTGCTGCTTCGGCCAAGATGGATTTTGTGAGGCGGCCCAAGGCGATTGGATATGATTGATGGAGGGGTGTGGGATTTGTTGCATTCTAGGCGCTGGTATGGGGTTTCTTTGGGGGTTAGGAGGCGTTCCCGTTCTGACTCCGTCCGTTGACGGAGGTTTGGGTGACTTGAGAATGTAGCAGGATATGCATGCTGCAACAATGGAGCACCGAGATAATGTTACACCACTCTATCGCACCTAACCCCAACTCGCATTTTACATAAAGGTGAAGAGGATGCTGGTGACTTACGTTGGTGATATTCTGTTAGTCGTGGACAAGACGTGGACTAGAAATACGAGGCACGAATACAGAATGCACCAAATATTCTCAAATGAGCATGATGGTCAACATGAGACAACGTTTCATTTCAGAAATACCGATTGATTCATTATATACCTATGGTAAGGTACTCGATCACACTGGCCAAGCTAGTCCTCAGTGAACAGGTCTTACACCATCATTATATACCTTACCTACTGCACACCCGTATTAGCGCGATCCAGACCTCCTCAATGCGCAGTGGCTTCCACCCCAGGTCTCAGATTGCCGAAATAGGCTAACCAATGGAGAACAAAAACCGTTGAAAACGACTCACCTCTATCACACATTCCCGGATGCTTCGCAGGGGCGGCGGTGGCAACGGCCGGGGCAACGCCAGCGACTTCGCCACCGCCATCACCACCTCCACCCGTCTCAAAGACCCCACGCGGCGTCCAAGGATCGTCGGCGTCGCTCTGGCCCAACCAGCGCCGAAGGGAGTACCCATTGCGGGCCGGACCCGTGCCCGAGACCGCGGATGCGTCTGCGGCTGCGGGTGCGGCTGAGCGTGCTTCGGCTCGTTTGCCGACTACAGTCGCCGCCGTTGGCCTTGTCGTCGAGAGTCTGGGGACCTTGGCCATGATGGCCAAAGTTCTCTTAAGCTTTAGAAAAGCTGCGACCCCGTTCAGCAGCTTTCCTCCTCAAACGAGATCCTCTCCAAACCCAATCGTATGCCCCCCTCCTCCTCTTCATTCTCATTCTCTCTATGAAGCGGAGCAAGCAAGCGACGGAGCCCGGACCGCTGAATAACTTACCTCAAGAGGGTTTCCGGAGTGCGCTCGCGGATCGCAAAGGTGGTTGTCAAGGTAGCTACGGATTGGCAAGCATTGCTTGCCTGGAGAAAGCTAGGGAATGGCTCATAAGAATGAGCGATAGTCTTGGTTGGAGAAGCTGGTAAACCGCCAAAGTTTAGTTGAAGAATCTGTAAATGTCAAGACTGCCGTCCAGGAACAACGCTCGTCCAAGCAATGACCTTTAAGTAGCAACCACAAAGTAATCCATCCATGGACATGAGCGCTCACACCCTAATTTCCAACCTCATGCCGCTTCCCGAAGAGGCGCCATGGGTCGCTTGGTTTTTCTGACCGGACGATTTGACCCGGCGTTCTGTACCAACGACAAACGACTTCTGTCAGGTAGTACGGGTTCCAAATAGTTTGACGTGCGCTGCAGCTTCCCACCGGGCTAGAGTTGATAAGGTCGACGCTCATATGACAGCGAAAAGCGATGGCGAAACGAATGTTTGCTTCCAACCGATGCCAACTAGCCATCATCAGTGCCAAGTACGGAGCAAAGGTTCTGCATGATCTGATGTTGAGGTGTGATACGCAATGAGCGGGAACCCGCCCCAGATACTGCTGCTGCGAGGTGATAAGTTTGCAACTCGCCTGAACCAGCATTGGTGAATGGATAGTCAGAAGTCGGAGACCTTGTTCATATTTGTTACTGTACGAACATGCAGGGTGCTGCTTGTCTCTTAGTGCAGCGTGCTACTCCTCATCAGTCAAGAGTCGATGGGGGAAGGGCACGGAAATGAAGGGAGGTGGATGCCAAGGTTGCAATGCAATGAGCTTGATTTGATTCTATCCATCGCATTTTGACATTCGCCATCAGCCATAATGGAACACCTCTCTCGTGAGCGACGCCTCCCTCCTCTTTTTGGCCATCCCTTTGCCAATTGGTGTTCCCATCCGATACCTGGTCCGTTCCGTTTTCGCCCGAATCCGTGGCCTAAAGAAATGTTGATTCGAAGTTTTTCGAGTCTGGTCCCCCACAAGGTGATTACCATTATATACTATATTGTTTCGCCAGCGGGCATCGCTAGCTGCAATACATGTGACATGTTACAAAGGAAAATGACTTTTATCTGTTTCGCAAGACAAAATGAAAGTGTTCATGGCCCTACAGGGGCATTGTAATATTGTACAGGCACCAGCGGCCAATCTGTTGTCATTGGCGTGGGTTGTGGTGCATTTTCGTCGACGACTGTGCTGGAGAAACTCTCCCAGTCTTCGAATGTGACCATATTTTCAGGCATAAATTGGAAGTTCATCGGCTGGTTTTCTTGTGGGGGCGGCGGAAGCTCTCTGTCCAGTGATGCACGGCGAAGAGGTTCCGTGTGCGCGCGCGGCTGTTGGGTGTGGAACAAAGGCTGCGGCATCATTGACTGGGCCCTCATCTGTTCCATGTACGGTGAGGGTGATGAATCCTGTGATGCTAATACTGGGGGTTGAGAGGACTGAGTCGGAAGAGTCTGGGAGGGTATCGATGGAGGAGGAAGGAGAGGCTGAGGGGGGTATTGTTGGGGAAGAGCAGCAGGAGGTGCGTAGCATTGAGAATACTGCATTGGCGGCGAGGCCGGAACGGGTAGGTAAACGAGATCCGCCAGCTTGTAGGCAATCAAGACGATAGACTCGGCCTCGGAGCTGGATCCAGAGAAGAATTCGAGCAGATCTTGGAGTTGGCCTGGGCTCTCATTCTCCATGAAACCCTGCGCTCGACCAGTCTGTGTAGGATTCCAGCTGAAGTTTGGCTGACGGCCCTGGAACTCATTGGCCTTGGACATCAGCACATCTTTCCAGGCCTCGTGGATCAGGGGCTGATGCAGGAGACCATAGATGACTCTTGAGTGCATCCAATCCGACTTTGTCTTTCCTGACTCGAAGTGTCTGGCGACGTGTTCGACGTGACGTTCCCTCGAAGGGTGCAGGGCCGAACAGAAGCCACAAGCCCAGTACTTTCTCCTCTTCAAGTACTTGACAACCTTTTCAGAGTGCGGGCAAGACTTGCAGCCATGCGAAGCCTTGTGGTGCTGGTTGAATGTGTTGGCTCCCCAGAAGCTCCTGTTGCAGCCAGGCTCAGGGCAAGGATACTTCTTCCAACGCTCATGGAACTCCTCCTCATGACGCTTCCAGTCGTACTTGCGCTTGAATCTCGTTTCGCATGAGGTGCACCAGTAAAAGTTGAAGCGCCCTGGACCCCATCCCGTCTGAGCGCTTGCTACCTGGGGCACGCCTCCAGGGGCTGCTTGAGGCGCGCATTGCTGAGTGGAAGGGGACTGCGAAGCTTGGGAGTAATGTGTCGCGACGGTGGCATTGGAGGCAGCGGAGCCCATAGACCATATACTCGCATGGCCAGAAGAGCCTGAGCTTGTTGATGATACGGAGATGCGTGGTCTGTGACCTATTTGGCCGTGGCATATCGCTGAACGAACAAGAGGGAAGTTAGCAGGGGTGACCTGTTTCCCACAGAGGGAAGATTATTTGGGGGGGAGTGGAACAAACCTCGCGTGGAAGCATCCTCCATTGCGACATCCTGCGGTACATGTTGTTGTTGGTGGTGCTGCTGCTGTTGGTGTTGAAGCTGAAGCTGAAGTTGTTGCTGCTGTTGCTGTGCCGCCTTGTCGCCAGCCTCCCACATCTGCAACAATGCTTCACGGGAAACACCAGAGCTCTTCAGAGCTTCTAGAGTTCGTCTAGCATCCGCCAGCACGTCGGCTGCGGCATCCTGCATGGGGTGATCCATCTCGACGACTTTCCGCTCTCCACCCTCGCTCGATTTGGTCGGATTGGGAGCTTCGCCGGCGTTCTCGGGTCGGGCGTTGAGTGCTTTAGTTCGACGGAGCAAGCCTTCTTTTTTCGAGTCGATTCGTCGCGAAGGCAAAGACGAACGTATACGAAGGGGTTATATCGACGTCGGTAGTTACCACTCCTATGGTAGGTTGTGGTAGAGAAATTGCGGCGTAGTGAATGGTTGATTGGCGTAGAGGCAAGAGCGAGAGGCGGAAGCTAATCAGATGAGGTGCAGGGCAAGCCTGGGGTAATGCTGTGAGAAGCAAAATGAATATAAAAAAAACCAAGATCGAGAGAAAGAGGTTGGTCGAAAGTTGGTGAGGTGTCTCTCGGAGATATAATACTAGGAAACGAGTGTGGGTGTGGATTAAAGGGTGTTGTGGTTGGCGTGTGATGAGGTCGGAAAGGTGAATTGAGGTGAGGTGAGAGGTAGGTGCGGGAGGTGCGAGGTTAAGATCAGATTCCGGACGGGAAAAGAAGTTGGTGTTGGAGTTCGGACGCTTTGGTGGGAAGCGAGAGGAGGCGGAGGAGCCAGGAAGGAGGGGAGGCGTGTGCTTTGAGATCCCAGAGAGTCCACACTAGCACACAGAGCCAGCGCCAGAGAGGAGCAAGAGCAGGAACAAGAGCAAGAATCAGAGCCAAAGCCCAGCACGGAAGCTTGGGCGAGTTAGTCAGGGACCTAGCGCGGAGAGATGGAGCGAGAGGGAAGAGCTAAGGGGCCGGGTACCTTGGAGGAGAAGAAAACGAACGAACAAGAAGAAGGAGGAGGCGTGGGATTGGACAAGTGTGAGGCGTGCGGAGAGTGAGCAACAAGGTTGCTGCTAGGAACGAGGCGCGAGGAAAAGCGGGAGGGGAGGGGAAGGAAGGGAAGGGAAGGGGGTGAAGGAGGAGCGATGAGATGGAAACAGAGGGAGGGAAACGAATTGGAAGAATAAAATAAAAATAAAATAAAAAGAGCAGGTGCTAGGGTCGCGGGAGTTTGAGTAAGGCACCTAGGGTAGGAGGGAAGGTAAGGAGGGTAAGGTACTGTATGTACTTTGTGTACTGCGCAGAGAGTAAGGTAAGGTAAAGTACGGAGTACTTCGTTCATACAGCAGTCGGAATGATCCCTGCTCGTACGTTGCGTATTGATTCTGGTGTGCTTCTTGTTCTTCTCTTGCTGCCCTGTTCTCTCTGTACTGCGTATGTACAGTCATTAATTATCTACTCCGTACCTCACGACACCTCCCTCCCCTGCTTCCTCTGAGGATAGGTACCTTACCTCACCTTACGAATACTTCTCCCAAGCTGAGTGTATCTTATGTAATGTTCCAGGACTCGTCTGACGATTGGAACGGGATCTGGCTCATCCATCCATCTACCTTATCTTATTCGATGGTGGTTAACTAGTCAGATTGGTGATTGGGCGGTCCCAAAATCTGTATACGGCTCTAAAACACCAAAGATGAGGGTATCGGTAGGACAGGAGACAGCAAGAGAAAGATTCGCCGAGTGAGGTGGAGCGGCTACGTGCCATGTTTTCGAGCCGGGTTGTGTGCGTGCATTTTGCGTGTGCGCTTCCAGTGTCTGTGAAGTGCGAAGCCGCTCTCTGCATATGCAGGCAGACACACCACACGGTGGAAAGGCAGTCTGAACTTTGAAGTTACTGTTGCAGTAATACTGCTTGGAATTGGATGCCCCCTAATGGCACTTGTCAATCCCGTCCGATGTTTGAGCCCCAGAAAGCCCATGCGGCACACAGATGATGACAGCAAGCAACACTGTGTGGAAGACGCAGAGAAAAGAACAGAGATTTTCCTATCCCCTGTTGATTTCCTGTCCCCAGTGCGCGTCCCTCTTTCGCATCTTCACAAGGCACGGGGGCCGTTGCTGTGCAGAGGGCACCTTTCTCCGAGATACTCCGTGACAAAAATGGCACAGAGACGCCGCCCCCATATGAGAAGTGTGTTCCGGCCTGACCAGTCCGTTCGTAGAGCACAATTCCCGCTGGCTGTGCCCGCTGGCAGCTCCAACGGGTATGTTTCACTCCTTCTGGACGACGGGCTGGCTTTGGAACGCAAGGCCCGTAAGGCGTTGAAGCAGGTAAAGTGCTGTGATGCTCCGTCTGTGCAGGTCTTGAAAGTAGAGGGGGGCGTAGAAACAGGGGGAGGAACTAGGGGGGTACGAAGTACCTCACATCTCGCGAGTTCGCAACTGAATTGTACTGTGGTCAGAGGACCTGAGCATGGAGCAGGGTCGATCCCGCCATTGAACGAACCTCTCAGCGCGTCATCGTTTACCGACTGCAGGCCAACATCTTGTCCACCAACGGCGCGCTCGGCTCATACTCTACACCATCGCCATGAAATAGACAGTGAGTGTCGCGCGTTTGATGCGGCCATTGAGACGATGGATTCTCTCACTTCATCTGAACACGCCCGGTTCAGCCCATTCTTAGGCTAGTTGATTTTTTTTTTATCTTGTCTTGTCTTGGAGGGGAGGGGCAGGGGTGTGAGCAAAAAAGCGGCAGGCTCTTGGCTTATCACTGGACGAACGTCTGTTTGTCCAGAGAGGATCAGTCGAGAGACCAGACGGGAATAGTAGGGACGAACATCAGAAACCAAGAATGGTCCGAAGGGTTGAAGAGACAGTTCAGCCTCGCTGGGACCAGGGGACTAGATTCATCTCATCCTCTTCGCAGTATCCGTGTAGAATCCAAGCACATCCGGGCCATACTTGTAGTAGAAGACTGTTGGGCACCTGGATGCTTTATCCATCAGTCCGCTGTGTTTATGGGGGCGAGAGGTGCAGCAAACAGCACTAAAGCCAATGAGGAAGAAGGAGAAAAGATGTGAACGGGGTGGAGGGAGCTGAGCAGGGGATGTGAGTGATGATGTGATGCAATGGGACGGGACCTACGAAGAGTTGGGCCGTGGGTGCCAGAGGGAATGGAATGCAAGGAATAGGGACGGGAACGGGAGCGAAAGAAAAGGCGACGAAGAAGAGAAACAATGGACAATGGGAAAGTGAGCCGAGGGATCTACCTAGGCCCAAGAGACGCGACCGGGATCATGACCGACAAGGTGAGAGAAAGGAACGGGGGTACGGAGAAATGGGGGGATAAGATGATCATAAAAAATTAATCAAGTCGGCACGTCAAAGCTCGAGCCAATCTCACCTTGGAACCTTGGGTCCAAGTCACCTTAGCACGTGCTTAGGTAAGGTTCCCCAAGGTACCTTACCTAGGTCTCCGTACCTACCTTATCATCTTACCTCAAGCTAAGGCACCTTAGTTTGGCATGTCAATCAACTTGAGGAAGGTTCGGTCCCAAGATATTCAATTGCCTTCAAGTTGGAATTCATCACACGATGACAATCCAAGTCACAAACGTGAGTCGTGACTGCGCGGGGTTACCGTTTCTCAGCTGATTGATTCAACAGCAACATGCAACAGATTGTGACTGCCATCGGGCACACTTCTTACTGGCTCTCAAAGTGAAGCAATCAATGAATGCAAGCAGCGGATCAAGGTCTAATTCTGCTGCCCGCTGTCAATAAATCGGCAAGGTACGTATGGCTTGCCGACGTCCGCACCTTACGACGTCTTTTACCTTGCTCCGTACGCGCAAATATCCCGTCAAACTGCTCCAGCCTCCAACCGCTAGAGGCACGCGCTAGGAAGCAAGCGAGAGACAAGCGAGAGGTGCAATGGAAGAAGAAAAAACGGGCAGCGTATGGAAGGCAAGGGTTGAGCAAGGGGTAATGATGGCAAGCTGCAAAGTTGCAACTCCCGCGCAGCCGCCTTTTTGCATTCGCGGTGTCGGTGGTTGGCAATGGCACCTCAGCAGCATCGAATGACTTGTGAAAGCTGGGAAACGGGCTTACATAAGGTAAGAAGCGTTAGGTAAAGTGAGGTAGGTAGGTACTCATACTCCGTACCCGTCTTGAGTCTTGATGTCTCGACACCCCCCTCTCCCCGCTTTTCCATCGAGGCTAATGCCAAAGGGACATGATAGAGGCATCGTGCACTCCGCGCCAGAGGCCAATAGAGTCTAGGGTCACAATTCTGCCGCCATTTTCCTTTGCTCTCCCACGTTTACGTCGGCCGATGCTTTTCTTCCATCTCATCCGCAATGAATTTAGGTTGTCCATGGTGGCGCAATGAACGCTGCATCGTCGGGTAACGGGCTCCTTCCCAACGGCAAATTACCAGCCCCTCCCCTACTCCTTTTTTTTTCCTTATTCTTTCTGACCGACGGATACGGATGTTGTCTACGAAGTATTGTTTGGGGTACCTTTTCTGCCCCTTCTCTTTTAGTCCAGTTTCTTCCAATACTTCTCCTCCACCCGCCGTGTCGACCCTGGCTTCTTCATCGACACTACTCAGGACCGCTGCGCCAGTGCCGATGCTGCACAGCTGAACGATGATGGCGCAGCATCAGGCCCAGCAGCGCGGGGGCCAGAGGAACGACTGTGTGTGTATATGCCACACTGCGAGTGTCTGGCCTGTCCGATGCTTCACAGACAGCCGCGAATAAACTGGCCAGATCAAGAGATTTCACCAGAGCCTACTCGGACGTTGACGATTGCCTTGCCATGATTGGCCAGGTTATCACCTGAAACAAATTCAGGACTGCTCACCGATACGCCACGGGGCGGCCCAGCGTTTCGAAACAAGAGCAGAGAGAGAGAGAAGCAGGCAATCCCGTGGGCCGCGGAGGAGCTGGCAGCAGCAGCTACTGCAGCACATTTCACAGCACTGCACCAATACCTGTACTGACGTGCCAGGTGCCTGTCTACCTATGCAGCCAGTGTGCTCAATGGCATGGGAATGGATGGGATGGCAGGCTGCGTGCCTAGAGGTTGTTCCTGGTCCCAGACTCCTGCGTCTGTTCGCGATGAATAGGGGCCTCTTCTTCCTCTCCCATGGAGGAACGGGTGCATTTGTTCGTGGTTTTGGGGCCAAGGAGCCAAGCGGCCATGCTTGAAAGAGCTTCTTTTCGCTCTGAGTCGCCTCACCACGACCTGGCACTTACTGTCTGTACAGTGCAAAAGACGCCCAGTGACCCTTCTTCTCTCCGCCGTCGCCCTTTGCTCAGGCACCCGCAGTCCCGCCCAAATGCATGGCAGGGATCACCCAGTGAGCTTCGGAGACCATGAGATGATGTGCAAGGGGAGGCACAAGAAGCGACAGGGGTTAGTGTCAGGGGCCCATTGCCGATTTGAGCCAGCTTTAATAACATGACGGGATAAGGATGGGAAGGATGAGGGGAAACAATTAGCCACAAACTTGGGTCTGATTGGATGGTGAGTTTGATTGGACGGAGAGTTGTTCACCATGATTATTGACCCAAAGAGCCAAAAGCCTCCAAACTCCAAAGAGCAAGACATGACACAAACCTACGAATACATACGAATACACAGTACATCAGAGGCTCACGGGTCCCTCACATGCAACTTGCCATAACCTCTGCGGTGGGGCCATCTACGGCGACAGCTTCCCTCAGAGACGTTTCAACACTGCTGTGTGCAACCACGAATACGTCAGCCCGTCGTCCATTTGAGACTTGCCCAAGCTAAGGTACAGATTACGCATACAAAGTACGGGTACTCCGTACAGAGCGCAAGAGTCGCCAACAATGTATTCGTACCTTGCGAAGGATACATGTTTCCTTTCTTTTGGCCAGTGGTCACCGACTCTTGCTGATACGGGACACAAGATCCAATACGATACGCACTGGCCGATTATCTTTTGCCTCAATAGAGGATAATGTCTCTCGTCGTACCACGCCTTGCAAGTTGCGCCAACCCCTTCTGCTACATTACCACCTCGACGTCCCTTTTCTACTGAGGGACCTGCGTCGCCGTTGCTAGCTCACAGCAGCTTCGCCGACGTCTGCCTCATCGTGCTTCTTACATGAATCTCCCAGCGGCACATCAGCTCCCGATCGGAGCTAGCGGCGCGTCTCACATTATCACGTCGCGCTTGGAAGTTGGCAGAGACGCGGGCGTGGGGAGGACCTTGCTCATGGTCCAAAAGAGACTAAAGCACGGAGTAGTGGACACTGGGTGTGAAATGTGAATGTGATTGTCGACGTTGGATGGGAAGTGGACGCGGACGGGACGGTACCATTCAATTCGTTGCCAGGAACCGGCTCTTCTCATCGGCTCGTCTCGTCTTTTTTTGGGCCTTCAACTCCCGTCAACCATACCTTACGTATACCCTCAACCCACTACTCTACTTGGAGCATCCAACTAGATCCGGAAACCTGGGCTAGGCACGGCCTACGTGGTGTGGAATACACAATCGAGAATAGAAGACACGAAGAAGAAGAGGGCCGAACGCGAGGAAACAACCACCCAGTCGACCAAGCAAGCCATGCTGGACTCTTGGTTCAATGGCGCGCGCAATCTCCCCCAACACGCCCACGAAGCCAACATCTCTCGAATTAGCATCAACATATCTGGCACCAACCACACGTCTCGGGCTGCGCACACATTCACTTTGTACAGCAAGTTCGTGATGACGGCAACGAGCGTCGACTTTGACATCGAACCATCAATGCTATCAGCCGGGCTCTGGGAAAATCCATTCCTCTTTAGGTCACGCACGTACACACAGATGGACACATTCAGACATTCACACACTCAGACTCTGGTTCTCTATCGAAAGCGTTGGTGCCCCACACCGCGCCGCCCTCATGTGTCATGTCCTGCCATCTCACGGCAACCAGGCTTGCAATGGAATCGCTCAAGTCTGCTGAGCGCGTTCGCTGCGCGATCCGCCCGCGCTAGTATCCGCACCTTGCAGTTGGTCCCTCGGAAAGCCGCCTAAGGACTGAGGGCCCCGTTACGGACCCCTCTGTATGGATCCATGGATCTCTGTGCCCTTTTGTCGGTTCCTCTCTTCCACTATTTTCTAGATACCAGACTAGGCATTTTGCTTGCTACTCTGAGGGTCGAGACTGCCTCTACTGGCCTTTCTCTCTACCGTCGCTGTCATGTTCCAATTGGATTGGGCTCTTCCCTTTTCACGCACTGCAGTTGCCAGTGTATCTTTTCAGAATACTATGTTGAGACGATGCCATGCAAAGTGGATAGGATATGCAGGCACATCGTGTGTCCTGCGTACGCACGTATTGAGTCCTGTCGCCAAAGTGGCAGATGACTCGAGTCTCACATGAACGATCAGGGTCCGCAGTCCGCGCTCCATAGTTCGCAACCTCGTACCCCCTTGGGCCTTGGGGAGATGTCGAGTGACGCGATGCACAGACAGCCAGTGGCAACACCATGGTGCAAACATTGGGACATTTCTCGCCCGCGGCCCCGTATGGCCCTGATGGGGCATATTGGGGGCTTGCCCAAGTGCGAGGCTCGACCAACAACGTTTGCGCTATCTGATGTCGCTTGTTTGGTTCGTTGCTGACAATTTTTAAGAGTGGCAAGGGGAATGCTGATGGTGCCTGAGCCAGCCGTACCACGGGCAGATAGGAGGGCTCCTCTTTACTTGCTGAAGGTGTTCGTACCTATTGAGAGAAGTGACGCAGGAAAGGTGCCGTACCTAGTGACTCGCAAGGCGAGTACGACTACGAATACAAAGTAGAAAGTATGTTCAGGTAAGGTGTGGTCCGGGCAAACTGCGATTACCTTAGCTGTCGGCATCGCGAGGCTCGGCGACGGGTTATGTCGATGGACCTTATTCGCACCTTGCCTGCCTTCAGGTGAGGTAGGCGTGGTTGGTCAAGGATGGGAGAAGCAGGAGCGAAGACGGTAAGGTGTGGGCTATTGGCGGAAGGTGAATGGAAGGTCCCCTGCTTTTTCTCTCCTTACCTTAGGTAGGTACGGAGTACGCTACAGCCTACTGACCGGGTCTTGTGGGCGGGCGCTCGCCCAGCTGGTCGGATCCGAAGCGCCGCCCCGTTATGCCTGCCTCCGCCCTCCACTGCGCCTGTGCCGTTGCCGTCCAATCCATGTTCAGCCACAGATAGCCACCAAGAGCAATACGGAGTACAAGTAGGGATACTTCGGGAGGTACCTATCTGTATGGAACCTGTGAAAGACGGAGCATGTACTTTGTACCTTGGGTACGCGTCTCGATGCAGGTGCGATTCGCCTCCACGTCGCTGCGCTTCTTCCCTGATAATATTTCCATCCACACGGGAGCACTACTGCCTACAAGCCCCCGGTTGACCTCGCCTCTTCAGACGAACCGCTCAACCTCCTGCAGCACATCTCGAACCCCCTTGTCCTTTCGGCTTCTCGTCTTCACTCCTCACCATTGATCCCGGCATGTTTCAAATGCATTTCCCCTTTGGGACGTTTGTTCGTTTTCTTCTTGCCAAACTCGCCATAGACATACTATTTATCGGATGACGCATGAAAACCAGATGACTGGGCTGATGTCATCCGAATTTTGCCCTGGCATACGGATACATCATACTACATACATCATGTCAAACCCGCAGAGGTGCACAACGCAAAACGGCGCCAAGTTCCAATGCCCGGCAAAGCTCCGTCCACGGTGCGGACACCTCTGTGAAGCCCTTTGCCTGACGAACCAACCAGGCTGATTCATTGTCATCCCAGCACTCGCTCGCAAAAGAGCATGGGGCCCCTTACGAATGAAGCCGAGCACCAGGGTCCCGCTGCCGAGTGGGCAATATTGAAATGTCTGCTCTTCTCCGACGGGACAAACGCACCAGTTCCAGCGCTCAAGGGACAAATATCAAACTCTCCAAATCGGTCCATCGCGAAAGCAAGGTGTCTCGGGCTCTCAGCATGTTAGGGGTCCGAATAAGCCACACAAGCTTGTTTGCAACTCTACGGATGGATGGGGACCCTGCAAAGTACGAACACTCTGTGCACTACTCTGTCTGTACCTTACGAGTACGAAGACAGCTTGCCAACATCGTCCGTGGGCGCTTCATACTGCTGATATTGCGGGACGCCATGAAAATCCCCCACAGACGCCATCGTTGTCCACCCTCCTCCTCGCGCCTTGCTGGATGCGAACCCTATCACCGGGTCGTTCACTGATTACTCATTACTTGTATGAACGCGAAAGTCGAGATACTCCACCAACCCCTATTCGGGCTCTATCCGCCGGGCCGCCTTCTTCGACAGACTGGAGCCGCCAGCAACGGCCTTCGGCGAGACTGGCTCAGCTCCCGCAAGGCCCGGCGCGTCTTGTACGGCACGCTGGCTTGAGAAGCCCAACCACCTTGGGGACAGCTTATGTCTGGGCACAAAAGTCTCCAAATCGCTACATTTGACCATGATGATTAGCGCCAATGACAAACACCCCTTTTCCCCTTTGGAAGTTAAACCGAGAAAATACGCATGGAAATAACAAAAGAGGGCACGGCCCAAGACTCGAGGCCACCAACAATCCAAGACGAGCCTGGAGGATCCGAATCGAGAGGGGCCAAATTCTGACCGCGGCGGGCTCGGCGGTGCACAAAATGAGAGAGAAAAAATAAACAAAAAGGGGATGGGGCCGACGCGCAGACTTTGAGGGTCTGAGAGCACTCAATCAGAGAGGCCATGTTTGATGAGCCTGTGGGCTGGCGGCGCTCACAAACGGTTTAGCCGCAGCTGTTGGTGCCTCGACAAGCTCGTGCCTCTGAGATCCGTCCAACCGCTGTCAGCACATCAAATGATCTTTTGACGATCCTCCCTTGCCGAAACCTTGACTGCTGCGTCGGAGCCGGCTTCTGCAACGTCTGACCTTGATTTGTCTCACTATTTAACTCCATCGTTTTATATTACTAAAGGATTGCCGCAGTACATATAGACGCTACCCTGCCCTCGAATTCCGCACTATTTAACCTTAACCCTTTTTATAAGTTACCTATCCTTTCCTCTATTCTACCCTCTCCCTCGTTAAGGGATCGCTAGAATCGCAGTTTTAATAGCTTATTAATAAGCTAATATTACTATTTAAAAATAAGTAACTTACTCTTATATATAAGTACTAAAAATCTTATTATTATAAAAATAGTAATAAATATACCGGAGTATTTGAGAGAGCTTTTTAATAAACTTTTAATACTATTTAAAGTAATTATCTTCGAGTTATAAAAAGAAGTTAAGGTACTATATTAATATAGCCCTATTTATTTTATTAGTATTAATAATAATCTTTTTAGTATAAGATATATTATTAATACTCTATAGCTACGTTATTACCCTTCGTAAATTGTACTTAACGTTAATAAGGATTTTAGTATTATCTCTTAATTTATCTCTTAATTTCTTTATTAAAGCCGTTATTATAGGATTAGTTTAGTTATTAATATCTTAGTAAGTATTTTAACTTAACTTAGAGGCTCTTATAGCCCTTAAAAAGAGGTTTTTAAAGGACTTATAATTAGACTTTTTATTTATTATAAGTAAAGCTATTATAGTTAAAGTTATAGTATTAATTACGAACCTTAATAATAAGTAATTAGTAATATAATTATCTTTCTTTTATAGCGAGTTTAAAAAAGCATCTTAATTTAAGTACTAAGTAAGTACTATACTATTTTATTAAAACTATATTCTTATACTTATAACTTAGAAAGAATTAACTTTCTTCGATAACAAGGTACTTAGACCTTGATTGTCTGCGCTGGTCGATGATCTGATAGAACCCATAACCGACTCATCTCGCAGTCTGCTTGCTTGATGGCGCCAGAGACCCGGAATGCCTCTGTTGGGCCCCGGCTTCCGTGGTTCGTGTCTCTCTCCAGTGTATCTAATTGACTGTGATAGTACATACGGATAGGCCACCACGTACTCCGTACAGCGTCCGGCAATATGCATCACTTCGCCGTGACAGTACCCGCTTGTTTCCATCCATCCACGCTGTTCTAAGCCCGATAAGAAGCCGACCGAGTGTCTCTCAAGTTGTCCCATCCTCCGTGCTATCCTCGTGCGTTTTTCTGCTCCGTCACTGTCGATGACTCTCGTCACTACCTGGCGGTCTCGGACGCACTCACCCACTTACGATGAACTACTTGCATACTACTACGATACGCATTTCTCCTCACCACAGAAAGACTAACACCATCGTCTTTTGTCATCAGGTTGGCCTGATATCTTCTTATTTCCAAAGGAAAAAGAACGGTGGACTACCATATTAGCACCAACCAGCATGCTTCCTCTTTGGTTGGTATCTAGCATACACAGTACCAGCTTCCGCAGCGGCAACGCAATCGAAGTCAATTCTCCAACCCGCAGGCTTGGCTCCTCTGATGACTTCTTCGGGAAAACGCAGGCCTTGAAAAGGCTTAGTCCAGAGTTAATGCCAGTGCGTATGTTTCAACAACGGGACGGGCTGCTCAAACACGAGGCTACGAGAAAGACCAACGCCCCTCTGCTCACTATACGGCCCGTGTATGCCCGTTTGAGGAAATTGGCCCTGCAGCTAATCCCGAGGGCGTGGCCGCCAACTCCGAACGGGGATGGGCACACCGGCATGCAAGCAACACGCCCGAACCCGGCTCGGCTTCGCTCGATTCGGACACCTCGCGACGCCTCATGAACTCTACGAGTCACACAACCCGCCAGCGCCTTTCAAACATGACCTCTTCCCGCACATTGACCAACCATGGTCTTTGCCTGTCTGGTAGGCTTGAAAGCCCACTCGACGCCACTGATTGGCTTCTCAAGAACATGCGTTGGATACGCGCTAATTACACTTGTATCCAACGACAACGACAACCACACCCGCAACCACAGCACACAGGCGTGGCAGGCACAACGCCGGCTGCTCGTAGAAGGACGCCATATCGGCCGCCGGTTACTTGATAACTGTGTTTACCCCATTTCAACGATGGCACAGAAAAGACAATGGCTTGGACAATGGCTTGGTGGAAGACGCCTCCAGCTATGCGCTCCTATCAATCCGTACATCCAAGTTCTTGTCTTCAACTCGCGGCGGGGAATTTTCTGTTTTTCGTCTAGACGGTGCGGGTTTCCATTTCCGAGGCTGAGCTACCCATCGAGTCCCGGTCACCGAGCGCAATGGAGCTCAGACGGACTGTCTATGCTCTAGACTCACGGTCCACGGAATATGGCCTCTGCCATCCCATCATGGTCCCAGAAACCGAGTTTCCTTCAAGCTAAGGCGCGAACAGATGCCCTATTTCAGGAACGCGCAGATTTAGGGCCCGTTGTCTGCAGAGGTTTCATCACCGCGTCGGGACCAGTCGACGCTATCACGACTTGACAACGTGGCGAGGTCAATATCGACGACTCCATCGCGACACACAGCCCACTTGATCGTCTTGGTCTCCGAGATCTGCGGCAAGGGCCATTCCCCGCAGACTCTTCTCAAGGGCGAATACAGAACGCTCATGCCTACGACGCCGCGCTACGGGTTCCGCACAGCTTCCGCGACGTCTCTAGGTTTCGACGGCCTCTGCCATCGCGTTGAGGTTCCTGCCGTGGCAGAGGCCGCCCGTCTTGATTCTTGGGCCGCA